CACGCTGCTTCAAAATGCAAACAAAACTCATAGACCAAACCAGTTTACAAGCCTATGGCTTCCAATAGGCTCTAAATGTTTACTGTATTTGATGTTACAGGTTTGGGGATTATGTTGGATTTCCAGTGAAATGATGAAATGAAATAGATTTCTCTTTTCACACATCTCTGCCCTAGTCGGTTTTTTTTTTTTTTTTTTTTTTTTTTTTTTTTTTTTTTTTTTAACTACAAGCAGAAGTTTATTTGGAAGGGAACCTTCGGTGGCTGCATCTCATGATCAACTGATTTGTAATTAGGTAACCCTACAGAAGCTTGTGGTTTCATTCATTTTCAGCAATTAGGAGACATTGAAATCTAAGTAAGAGTCGGGACATCTGCAGGGTTTTCGTCTCCCATTTGTATTTTCATGGCTTTTGTGATTGATAGTATGCCATGTTGCTTCAGGCCTCACAGAATTCATTCACTCAAGGAACATAATAGGGCAGAGAAATAAAAACACCTGTTTCTTGTCTTCAGGCAGTTCAATGTCCATTTGGACAGGAAAAAACAGTAACAGTAAAAACAATAAGAAGAAAAATGTAGAGACAACGATGACTATAAAAATTGATAAATAGGTAAGTGAAGTTTCCCAATGTGTAGGTAGATTTGTATTCTTGTGGTACAATGAATCAGCACAAATACTCTGGTCCACAGTTTTCCTCAGGAAAACTAATACATTAGAAGTCTGGGTTTTTCCCGAATGCTGTGAGCTTGGTTCAGAATGAGTGAACTGCTGACAGAGCTGCTTTGTGCATAGAGCATTTAACATGGATGCTTTGAGGATGCAAAGATGGTTATGATGACAGCGATGCATTGCAGGCATCTTGCTATGTGTTGAAATAACAGCATCACTAACTTGGAAGTACATTTAAAAAGTCTACTTTCAAGATAAAACAAAATATGTATGTTTAAATACAGTTTTTGATAGGGTGTCATGTAGTCCAGGCTGATCTCCAACTTGTGTAGCTGAAGATGACCTTGAAGTTCTGATCCTTCTTGCTGCACCTCCTGAATGCTTATATGAGAGGCAGGGCTCACCAATCTGACTTATGCAGTACCATGGCTTTAACCCAGGGCTTTGCGTGTGCTAGACAAGCGCTCTACCAACCAGTTACAGTCCCTAAAAATATTTAAAAAATTATTTTAGTTTGAATTTAGATTTCAATGCATGTTTTTTAAAATTATTCAAACTTTTATTGTTTCTTTTCATATTTCACATCATTTTCCCTTTTCCCCCCACCCCAGCCTGCCCTCCCTCCTAGCATCCTTCCTCCCAAAACAAAACAAAGTTTAAAAGAAAAACCAAAACCCAAACAAAGCAAACAAATAAATTTTAAAAGAAAAAATCAAAGAAAGCAAACAAAACAAAGAAAACAAACAAAAAAAACCAAAACAACAGCGTAAAGACTCTTGTAGTGGACATTCTCGTTGGTCTGGTGTGTCGCACAGTACACTGTTTAATTCTTTCATCTTTACTTTCAGTCCATGTTTTTAACTCTCTGAAATCTGCTCATTTGGGAATAACTAAACACATGAATGATATTTGTGTGCTCCTTTAGAAGAGTCTGTTTTGAAAAATGCTTTCTGAAATTATTACTGGTCTTTCACCTTTTAATGAAGTATTGGAAAGTTTTATTTTCCCAATTTGCATTTAAGTATTCATTTACAATACAGAGACATGCTGGTCTCCATCATGAGTTCCAGGTAAGCCAAGGCTACATTCCAAAAATAAACAAATAATTAAAATATAGAGACAGATGCTGTTAATAAACTAAAGCATTGATGAAAACTACTATACTGTATTGTAATGATTCCCTGGAAAAGTTAAGAACTTTTCTGATTTTTACTATTTTCAAACTTTCCAGCCCAGGGGCCTCTGTCCATCTTCTCTGGCTGAACTTTCCTCATCAAGTTGATTCCATTTTTTTCTTTCCTAACGTGAGTAGCTTTGTTATTAGCCAGTGTGTATTAGGTGCACATTTTACAGAAAGATCATACCCTTGTTACATCTAAAATGCTGTGGTAGGTATACAAGTCAAGGTAGAATAGAAAACATGCTGAATGAAAATGAGGACATGACTGCTCCTAGGTATGGTTAAGCAGAAGGGTTTTATTGTAGATACTAGAGAGCTCAGCCAGAGGCATCTGGTTTGGAAGGGTCCAGACTAAACAGGGCCATGAAAAGAGAGAGAGAGACAGAGAGAGAGAGAGAGAGAGAGAGAGAGAGAGAGAGAGAAATAGAGAGAGAGACCAGACAGACAGACAGACAGAGACAGAGACAGAGAGACAGACAGAGACAGACAGAGACAGAGGCAGAGAGAGAGAGAGAGAGAGACAGAAAAGAAGAGAGGAAGAAGCAGATGAGTAGAGAAGAGAGAGCCAAGAGGGCAAAGAGGCCAAGAGAAAGCCAGCCAGGAGCCAAGAGACCAAGAGAGAAGAACCAAGAGTACTCATGGCTAAAATGGCTGAAGCTGGGGAAGGGAAGCAAAGTCCAGCTCCTGGATTGGTTTAGGGTAGGAGGCCAGGTGAGAAGTGCTGGGAGGAGTCACAGGTACTAAGTGAGACGTGTCCCCAGGCTCTCTGGGACCTGACACATGCATTTCCAAGAATATATCTCTTTTGAAAAGTGTGTCAGTAAGCCCACAATACATATGACAGCTTATCAAATACTAGTCCATTTCTTCCGAAATTTGTTCTTAGACGAATAAGGCCAGTAGGGAGACGAGGTTAGGTAATTGTCTATTTGACTGAGACAGGCAAGGAGCCTTGTGGCAGTTCACAGGTAGAATAAATCTACAAAGAATATATCTGATGAAGCCACCTGGTATAAATAAAGGGCTGGATGGAAGATATTCTTTCTTTAGATACTACGGATTATTTGAAAATGTGAGAAACACTTTAAAACCTGTTATGAATGTTATGACATTAGACTATGTTTTATTTGATTCACTTTATTGAGCTCAGAATCCCAAGTCTATTAATAATAAAACCCAGATTTGCCCTTGAGTGTTTCAAGGTTACATGAAAACGGGTTTTCTTGTTAGGGTGCTATAAATTCAGCTGCACCACCCGTGTTTGCCCTTGTAGGAAATAGGATCTTATTATCTTTCAGTTTGCAGCTAGGGGTGAAGTTAAACTATCCTAGTTTGGAGACTTTTGTACTTTGGGTTCCCTGGCCAAATTTCTAGTAAAAGGCTGAATTATTAGTAGGTCATTTGAGTTTTATGTGTGTGTATGCTGAGAACAGCCACAGGATAAGCTCAAGTATTGTCCCTCAGGCTCTGTCCACCTATTTTTGTTTCTGGAGACAGGTTCTCTTTCTGGGCTGGCTCTCACCAACTGGGCTATTGTGGCTGGCCAGGAAGCCCCAGGAATTTACTTCTCTTTGCTTTTGCAGAGCTGGGATTATAATTATGTGGTACCATGCTGGGTTTCAAACAAAACATACAAAAGAAAGCAAAACAAAGAATCCAGTCTTTTTTTTTTATGAATTCTGTCTTTGAGAATTTCCTTTATTGTGTTTTGAACGTATTCCTTCTCCCTTCCCCAAATCCTCCCATGACCACCCTTTCCATTCTCCCATTCCTTCCACCTTGGAGATTTTGTCATCTTGTTTTTCTTTCTCCATCTAGTCCAGTGTGTGTTGCCCACCTAATCTTGGGAGTGGGTCGTGCCTTAACGTTCCAGCTGTTTTTTTGCCATGTGTGTTGTGGGGATGGAAACCAGGGGCTCATGCTTGGGTAGCAGACACTTGCCCCTCATTTGCTCCTCATTTGGTTTTTAAAAGAACATGTTTTGATGTGACAAACTGGATGGATAGAAGCCATCAACAGCACACACACACACACACACACACACACACACACACACACAGCTTGACACCCTCCCTCACTCCTGAAATTCATTTGCCTTCTCACAAGAAGATAGGTGGTTGTAACACACTTGGTACTGGGGTGAAACCAGAAATTCACAAGACCTGTATTTTCTTTTTGTCTTTGTCACTTACAGTCCATGTGACCTTAGCTAAGTCAATCTTCTGCCTTTATAGCATTTACCAAGTGGCAATAATTAACTCTGATTTATCTCATTGGATTTATGGGAGCACTAGAATTACATGACTTTAAGGTAGCTATAGTACAAAATCTTTGCGTGCGTGTTCAAATATTAAAAGTAAAGGTGACCAGTGAAAGAATACGGACAAAGTTCTTATATCCTGTAACACTGCTGTTAAAGTACAGGCTCCTGGCATTTATTTATTTTTTTTTTTTAGAAAAAGATACCAGAGTCAGGTAGAATGCACAATTAAAAATATCCTCAGGTGAAAGTAATAAATTGCCTTTGTATTAATGCTTTGTTCTGAGACAAAGGTATGTTCTGCTTCCAAAGTGTGCCCAAAATG